TGGCGCATACATTTTTCGTCAATCCCCCCATGAAGACGGGGAAACAACTACACACCACACCACCCCGACGTCGTCCCTGACCCTCAAGAAGTCCAGGGATTGAAAAACAGCACGCAGCTGGTAATTCCCAGCCATCCTGTGGTGTTGGGTCCTCGTTTTGAAGAGACAGCGCCCCGCGTTCCTCTCCTCTCCTCTCCTCTCCTCTCCTCTCCTCTCCTCTCCTCTCCTCTCCTCTCCTCCTCCTCCTCCTCCTCCTCCTCCTCCTCCTCTTCCCTCCTCCTCCTCCTCCTCCTCCTCCTCCTCCTCCCCCCTCCTCCCCTCCCATCACCATCATCGCCATCATCACCATCATCACCATCATCACCATCATCACCATCATCACCATCACCATCATCATCATCAGCATCATCATCACCATCATTCATCATCATCAACATCCCCTCCCTCTCCCTACACCATCGTCACCATCATCACCGTCACCCATCATCCATCAGCATCATAATCTGCAGCATCATCCTCATCCGCATTCTCCTCATCATCGTCCCCAACGCCCATGTCGTCACACCCGTCACACGTTTCGTGGCCCCACAGGGAGCCCCACCGAAGGCCACAGTGGCGGTGTTCGCATGCGTCTCCCCCGTCCAGGACAGCGCTTTGTGGCCCCATAGGGAGCTCCACCGAAGGCTTCAATCGGGGTGTTCGCATGCGTCTCCCCCGCCCAGGACAGCGTTTCGTGGCCCCATAAGGAGCTCCACCGAAGGCCCCACTGGGGGTGTTCGCATGCGGCTCCCCCACCCGGGACAGCGTTTTGTGGCCCCATAGGGAGCTCCACCGAAGGCCAGTATCGGGGTGTTCGCATGCGTCTCCCCCACGCAGGACGGCGTTTCGTGGCCCCATACGGAGCTCCACCGAAGGCCCCAGAGGGGGTGTTCGCATGCGTCTCCCCCACCCAGGACAGCGCTTCGTGGTCTCATTGTGAGCTTCACCGAAGGCTTCAATCGGGGTGTTCGCATGCGTCTCCCCCACCCAGGACAGCGTTTCTCGGCCCCATAGGGAGCTCCACCGAAGGCTTCAATCGGGGTGTTCGCATGCGTCCCCCCCGCCTAGGACAGCGTTTCGTGGCCCCACAGGGAGCTCCACCCAAAGCCCGCAGTGGGGGTGTTCGCATGCGTCTCCCCCACGCAGGACAACGTTTCGTGCCCCCATAGGGAGCTCCACCGAAGGCCCCAGTGGGGGTGTTCGCATGCGCCTCCCCCGCCCAAAACAACGCTTCGTGGCCCCATAGGGAGCTCCACAGAAAGCCAGAACCGAAGTGTTCCCATGCGTCCCCCCCGCCCAAGACAACGCTTCGTGGCCCCATAGGGAGCTCCACCGAAGGCCCCACTGGGAGTGTTCGCGTGCGTCTCTCCCGCCCAGGACAGCGTTTCGTGGCCCCACAGGGAGCTCCACCGAAGGCCCCACTGGGGGTGTTCACATGCGTCTCCCCCGCCCAGGACAATATTTCGGGGGCCCAGGGAGCCCCACCGAAGGCTTCAATCGGGGTGTTCGCATGCGTCTCCCCCACCCAGGACAGCGCTTCGTGGCCCCATAGGGAGCTCCACCGAAAGTCCCAGTGGGGGTGTTCGCATGCGTCTCCCCCACCCAGGACAGCGTTTCGTGGCCCCATAGGGAGCTCCACCGAAGGCCCCAGTGGGGGTGTTCGCATGCGTCCCCCCCACCCAGGACAGCGTTGCGTGGCCCCATAGGGAGCTCCACCGAAGGCCAGAATCGAGGTGTTCGCATGCACCCAGGACAATATTTCGTGGCCCCATACGGAGCTCCACCGAAGGCCCCAGTGGGGGTGTTCGCATGCGTCTCCCCCACCCAGGGCAGCACTTCGTGGCCCCATAGTGAGCCCCACCGAATGCGTTCTCACAAAGACGGTACTCACAACTGCATATGGTTGGGTCCTTCGCCAGGCTAATTTTTTTCAGTCGGGCCGCTGAAAGAAGGAATGCTAAATAAGGAACGAAGCCCCTTCTTGGCCCTGCAAGCGCCTCCGTGCCCCAGGAGGGCAAGAGGAACAGCACCGGAGGAACCCAAGGAACACCGGGCCCCTTCCGAGCCCAAACCGTTCCTTGTTTCAGCGTCTTGACTGTATGTTCCAGCTTCCGAAACTAAAACAGGGCTAGGATCGGGATAAATCGCTCCAGAGCGTTCCGGAGCGCTCTCAGAGCGTTCCGGAACGCTCTGGAGCGGCCGCGGCGCCCAATACATCCTCCAAACCCGCCGATTCTCAGAGATTTCGAGTTATCCCGATCCGATTTTGTCCCGATCCTCGCGTCGTTTTAGTATGTTCCAGTTTCCGAAATGGGGGGGGGAGGAGGGGCAAGAGGACGGGGAGCAGCAGCAGCGATCGGCCGGCCTCGCCAGGCCCGCGGGCGGCGGAGCCCCGCGGGGGCAGGGCGGCGGGTCCGCCGCGTCCTCGGCCAGCGTCGACCGCTGCTTCTCGGGCCCGATCCTGGCAGGCGTGCGGGGGGAGGGCGGGGTGCTTCGGGGCGGCGGCCTGGAGCACGCCAGGAGGGCGAGGGAGGAGGAGGAGGAGGAGGAGGAGGAGGAGGAGGAGGAGGAGGAGGAGGAGGAGGAGGAGGAGGAGGAGGAGCGCCAGTACCATGGGGGGTTCGACGTCTCACGATGCTCAACGCCGAGCTGCTGGTTTCAGTCACCCGTAGGGCCGACCAGCGGTAGGCCGAGGAGGAAGCAGAGAGTCCCACCAGTCCTTCAAGGCGTAGGTGGTCGCGCTTCCTCTTCTAACCCCCTTCTTGCCCTTCAGGGAGGGGTTACCTCTGCTCCTTATCCATAAACGCTCCCTCCCCCAAACGATCGGCAACACATCAGGAACACCTCCACCACAACCCCGCCATCCCTTTCGAAACCTTGTGCAGCATACACTTTGTGACAGCATCTGGGTCATGCTCGGACGCCCCACGATCACTCTACACTGTTTCTTGACGGGGACGCAGGGGCTGCTAGGATCTTGCCCCCAGGTGCGCAGGCCCACCGTGCTGGCCGAAGACCAGTGCAAACCGCACGCTGCGGCAAAGCCTTGGACCACGCGCAGGCGCCCTGCGATCATTGCACACGGCTACCTGGCAGCTTCAGGAGGGTCGTGGGGGGTGCCCAGGCACGCGTGGCGAATAGGGGGCCACATGCGAACCCTACCCCATACCCCCCACGATTTCTGATGGGCAGGGTGGGGTTCACTTCGTTCGGGGCTCCCGAGCGAAGTGAACCTCCCCCTCCCCCTCAGAAATCGTGGGGGGTAGGGGTAGGGTTCGCATGCTGCGCAGGTTCCCAATGGCTGTCGACGGCGGCCTCCGAACCACGCTGAGGCTCGGGTGCCGCCCGTGTGCTGGGAGCGCGGGCGGGATGTGAGCGAGACGGCGCGACCCCCGAGAGCTCCCCCAAAGCCCCCCTCAATAGGCCCCCAAGTGCCCCTGGAGGCCGCCAGTCGCCCCCCCCCCTCCCCAGGTGACATCCCAAGCGACCCCGGGGAGGCATCCAAGAGGGCTCGTCTATTTCACCAAGGCTTCCCAGGGTAGTCAAATCGTGCCACGCTCCCCCGATAAGGACCAGCTCCCCTCGGCTTCGTTCGTGGATGGGCTGGTGGGGATGTTTCCCCACACGTTTCGTGGGGTTCTGGTTTTCTTCCTTCCCGCGTCGTACCCGCGAAGCTCACCTCACCCCTTCCCCTTCTCCTTCTCACACAGCACAACACAGCACAGCACAGCACAGCACAGCACAGCACAGCACAGCAGACCGCAACACAGCACAAGACAGCACACCACAGCACATTTCAGCAGAGCACGGCACAGCACATCACAACACAATACAACACATGCGCAGCACGCCCTCGTCGTGCACTTTCCCGCAATGCATGGCAGGCGTGACGTTTCCTCTACGCCACGGGGGGTGCACTCGGGGGGGCCCTTATTATGCGTTGCAGGCTCGCAGGGCGTGGCAGGCGTGGCGTTTCCTCGACGCCACAGGGGGTGCGCTGGGGTTGGGGGCCCTATGCGTCGCATGCTCGCAGAGCGTGGCAGGCGTGACATGTCCTCGACGCCACAGGGGGTACGTTCGGGGTGGGGGCCCTATGCGTTGCAGGCTCGCAGGGCGTGGCAGGCGTGGCATGTCCTCGACGCCACTGGGGGTGCGCTGGGGATGGGGACCCTATGCGCTGCAGGCTCGCAAGGCGTGGCAATCGTGGCATTTCTTCGACGCCACAGGGGGCGCGCTGGGGTTGGGGGCCCTATGCGTTGCAGGCTCGCAGGGCGTGGCAGGCGTGGCATGTCCTCGACGCCACTGGGGGTGCGCTGGGGGTGGGGGCCCTATGCGCTGCAGGCTCGCAGGGCGTGGCAGGCGTGGCAATTCCTCGACGCCACGGGGGGCGCCCTCGGGGTGGGGGTCCTACGCGTTGCAGGCTCGCAGGGCGTGGCCGGCGCGGCATTCCGTCGACGCCACAAAGGGTGCGCTGGGAGTGGGGGCCCTGTGCGTTGCAGGCTCGCCGGGCGTTGCATTTCCTCGGCGCCACAGAGGGTGCGCTGGGTGGGCCCTACGTGTTGCAGGCTCGCAGGGCGTGGCCAAGCGTGGTATTTCCTCGACGCCTCAGGGGGTGCGCTGGGGGTGGGGGCCCTATGCTTTGCAGGCTCGCAGGACGTGGCAGGCGTGGCGTTTCCTCGACGCCACAGGGGGTGCGCTCGGGGTGGGGGCCCTATGCGCTGCAGGCTCGCAAGGCGTGGCAGGCGCGGCATTCCCTCGACGCCGTGGAAGGTGCGCTGGGTGTGGGGGCCCTATGCTTTGCAGGCTCGCAGGACGTGGCAGGCGTGGCGTTTCCTCGACGCCACAGGGGGTGCGCTCGGGGTGGGGGCCCTATGCGCTGCAGGCTCGCAAGGCGTGGCAGGCGCGGCATTCCCTCGACGCCGTGGAAGATGCGCTGGGTGTGGGGGCCCTATGCGTTGCAGGCTCGCACGGCGTGGCAGGCGAGGCATTTCTTCGACGCCACAGGGGGTGCGCTGGGGGTGGGGGCCCTGTGCGCTGCAGGCTCGCAGGGCGTGGCAGGCGTGGTATTTCCTCGACGCCGCGGGGGGTGCGCTCGGGGTGGGGACTTGTGTCTTGTCCAGAACTGTAAACACGTTGGCTCAAGCCGGCTCGGCGCGCCTGCGCTCTCACGCAAGCGCGCTCCTGTGGTCCTAATTCAAAGCGCCGCCTTGCCCTCGCGCGGCGGCCGCACCCCCCAAAATCGCCGTGGACGGGCTGCCACCTCCATGTTTGGCGATGAAGACTGCAATGGTTCAGATGAGCGACGGCGGTCTGCGAACGCGCGCGATTTAAGCTAGGTGTGTGGGGTTCCTCGGTAGCGTAATTTGTTCGCAAGCGCGCCGGGATGCATGGCGCCGTCGAGAAACGCGGCTGGCTAGCAACGGCCTAAATTCCGCGGCAGGAGGGGGGGCGGGAGGGAAACAACAACGCGGAGGAAAAAAAAGAAAGAGCACACAGGAAGCGAGCTACGCTGCGGCTCAGGATACGCGAACCAGGAAAAACCACCAGTCCAGGTGCAGCACCAAAATGGCGAAATTCATGTTGCCCACGAGCTCGAGGAAGGCGACCACGGACATGGCCCACTGCAGCGCCAGTGCCGAGAGAAGGCACCGATGCAGATGACGGCCGTGACGGAACCGATGGGGACGTCGAACAGCGACATGCAGGCGCTCAACGCAGAAGGGCCCGGATCGCCAACCGCCGACAGGTGTCGGAGCGAGGGGCGTGGAAGCGACGGCAGCGCCACCACGGGCGGGGGGACAGGGGGAAGGCAGCGACAGTGCGGCCCAGGGGTGGTGGGGATACGCGAAGCGTTCAGAATATTCGTTGCTTGCGGGAGCGCGAGGGGCGATCCAATCCATCTTATTCCGCGGCCAGATCCTTAGCGATGTGATCCATGTAGAAGCCAAGTGGTGGCCAAGATCGCAACTGCACACGTGAGATTAAAGATTGGTTTCTGGACAACCGGATAGGTCGGCCGAGACCGAGGTGGAGGATGGGGCGAGAAGGGATGACGGCTCCAGGACGACAAACAACGTTTCGTGAGCCCCCATGCCAGAAGAACCGGAAACAAGTTGATCCTGGCATTGTGCTAACATCCTGCTTCTCCCCCTCCCCCTCCTCCTCCTTCTTCTCCTGTCTTTAGGTCTACATATATACACATATCTCTGCCTCTCTCTGCCTTTTTGTTTGTCTCTTCCTCTCTCTCTCTCTCTCGTGATCCCTCTCTCTCTGCCTCTCTCTCTCTCGCTTGATATCTCTCTCTATATACATCCTTCCCATTCCTCCTCCTCCTCCCCTTCCTGCAGGCGGTCTTCGATTCAACGCTGCATGTTGTCAGATATATGCTGAAGCAAGTGCAGCTGCGCGCTGCATATTCTCAGCAATCAGATACATGCTGGGGATTGCAGCTATTCGCTGCATAATTTCAGCTACGCGTTGAAGTGGATGCAGTCCCCCCCTGTGCGCGCCCAACAGCCAACTACATGCTGGAACGAGCAGGTACACGCTGCACGCTTTCACCTACGTGCATGCTAAAACGAATTCAGCTACGCGCTGCATGTGTGCATAAGCCGCCTATTGCGCAAAACGATTGGGGCGTTTGTTCTTCCGATGTGCAGATTAATGTAGATGCCTATGAGCGGGTTTTTGATGCCGAAGATGCAGATCGGTGGCGATGATGATGACGACGCTGAAGATGATGATGCTGCTGTCGATGATGCTCATGATGATGATGATGCTGATGATGATGATGATGCTCATGCTGATGCTGATGATGCTGATGATGATGATGGCGACGACGACGACACCGACGACGATGATGTTGATGCGGATGATTATGATGCTGATGCTGATGATGGTGATGCTGCTGATGCTGTTAAGGAATGTGATGATGCTGATGCTGATGTTGATGTTGCTTTTGTTGATGATGATGCTGATGATGATGATGACGATGATGATGATGATGATGATGATGATGATGATGATGATGGCGACGACGACGACACCGACGACAACGATGCTGCTGAGGATGATGATGCTGATGATGATGGTGATGAGGCTGCTAATGCTGATCATGAATGTGATAATGCTGATGCTGATGCTGCTGTTCTTGTTGCTGATTATGGTGGTGATGATGATGGTGATGGTGCTGCTGGCGATGATGATGTTGACGATTATGACGACGACGACGACAGTGATGACGATGATGACGATGACGAGTTTCGCGTTGGGGGGTATGGGGGCTATTAGGTCTCGATGCTAATGATGAAGAGGATGATGATGAGTTTCCGAGTCCAAACATGAGCCCGCCCAGACCCAGGGGGTGGGTGGTGGGGTGGGGGAGCCAAACGCGCCAGCGATGCGTTGTTACATGCCCGCGGGCATTGTGCGCGCCATCCCGTTGAGTCTTCCTTATTTCCG